CCGACGGCAGCTCCCGGTGCCAGCGGGGCAGCTCCCAGTGCCCCCGGCCTCTGCCTCGTGAGGCTGCCGCCCTCGCCCAGATGTGCCCTGTCCTGCACAGCTGGCTGCTCCGTGTGTCCCTGCCCCCACAGCTGGCTGCCCCCAGATGTGTCCTGCCCACACAGCTGGCTGCTCCCATGTGTCCCTGTCCTGCACAGCTGGCTGTCCCCTGCTCCAGTCCTCCCTGTCCCATGGGCAGCGGGTCCCTGCCCAGTCTCCGGGCAGCAGTGCCAGCTCTGCTCCAGGGCACAGGTCCCCAGACCTTCCGGAGGCCCCTGACCTGTGCAGCAGCTCCAACCACAACCGCCCGGGTGGGGACAGGACCCTGTCACCCTCCACGTCCCTGCGGGGGCTGTTCTCCACCCTGGCGCCTCCACCACGGCCAGCGCCTCTGTGGGGACTGCCCTGAACCCCAGAGTGCCCCAGGGATCACTCCCCACCCTGGCACCCCTGCCCTCCCAGGGGGTCACTTCCCCGCTACGATGCCCCCCAAACCTCCATGGGTGCCGTGTCCCACCGGGACAGTCCCCACGGGGGAGCCTTCCGACAGGGCCCTTCCTGCACCCCGCGGGGCAGCTCTCCATGGCACCTCCTGCCCCAGCAGGGCCATTCTCCAGCATGATGCCCCCCCAGCCCAGGGACAGAGCCCCCATGGCAGCCCCAGTGCCAGCACGAGCAGCTCTGCACTGCGATACCCCCGAACAGGAGCAGGGGCAGCTCTGCACCCTGATACCCCCGAACAGGAGCAGGGGCAGCTCTGCACCCTGATATCCCCATACAGGAGCTGCTCTGCACCACGATACCCACCCCGTAAAGGAGCAGGAGCAGCTCTGCACCCTGATATCCCCATACAGGAGCAGGAGCTGCTCTGCACCACGATACCCACCCCGTAAAGGAGCAGGAGCAGCTCTGCACCCTGATATCCCCGGGCAGCTCTGCACCCTCATATCCCCATACAGGAGCTGCTCTGCACCACGATACCCACCCCGAACAGGAGCAGGAGCTGCTCTGCACCCTGATATCCCCATACTCTGGCCGTGCCCAGCTCCCTGGCACAGCCGGGATGCTCTGGCTCAGCCTCCCACCTCCCCCTGTCCTGACAGCATCGCTCCCTGGTTACGGCCCCGACAGCGCCCGTCCCGCTCAGCCCGTCGCTGCTGCGCTCGGGAGCTCCCGTGGCCCCAGGAAACAGGGGCTCATCCTTAAGGGCCAGCACCAGGCTGGCACGTCGCAGGCCCCCGGCCCTCCTCGGCAGCTCCGGCTCTGCAGCCTTGTCCTCGCTGTGCAGACTCACCCCAGAGCCCCTGCCCGCGTCAAAGCCAGGCAAACCCCGCTAGTCAGGATGCCAGGAAACACCTACCCTTCTTCCGAACAACTTCTTCTGATTCTGGCTTGCGGCTGACGGAAACAACCTTCATCACCAGATGATTCCCCCCTTGCCGGATCAACGAGACCACCTGCTTGTGCCCGACCTTCACCACGTTCACACCGTTCACCTAGGACACAAACAGAAACAGAGCAGGATAAAAGCTGCCCGTGGCAGAGAGCAATGCTGCCCCGTGGCGAGACCCAAGCCCGAAGGTTTTGCATTGCTGCGGATCTTTTCATGCTCCATCATAGCACATTTTCATATTTAGCCTATCCCCATTTGTGAGTGCAGTCTAGTGCAGCAGCTGGGAGAGGTGCAACGGGGGAAGCAGCAAGTGCAGGGCTGCGATGGGGCAGGAGAACTGAGCTCCCACCTATGCCCTGGGCTGCCGAGGCAGGGCCCTAGAATGGGGCATTTCCAGCTCTGTCTGCGTATTTGGCAGTTGTAGCGAGGGCTCCTGGGGCTGGAAAACCTCGGGCTGCTCCCGGGCCTGGCAGGGGGGCCCTGTCCC